GGCCCTGGGCCCAGCTCCCAGAGTAGGTTCTCTGGGACTCTAGCACTGTGGCATGGCCCAGCTTCATGGGCACCATTCGCACCAGATGCTATGGGATATGAGGCCCTTGAGCATGATTCCAAGGGACACCATTTACATAAAGGTGTATGAATTGTGCTTCCTGGAACTGGGCAACTCTGCAGCTCTGGACACAATTATCAAAGGAATGAACTATAATCCACCCTCCTCCAAAAAAAAGCTATTCCCACAGATGATAGCAGCATCAGGTGATAAGTGTGGTCTCCTGAGGGGACCACTCTGCTGAAATAGCTACTGTGATTTGAACATGTAAATCCCAGTGATAGTCACAAGGGGCGTATTCTCTCACTCTCCTGCTGGCATTCCACCAGAAAGGAAAGGCAATTTAGAAGAGGCAAGAAATGATAAGTGAGAAATGGACAGATGGGCTGAGCAAGGCAGGTATGAGGATGGTAACAGAGACGCGGGACCAAAAGTCCATGCTCTTGCTGTATACTGAGTTTTCCACCTTTCAGAGCAAGCTGAGCACACATGTGAAAACAGAAACACACTGAGTTACATAGTTCTCAATGTCTATGAGAACAAACATATTATTAGTAGTTCCTCAGAAGAAACAAAAATTTCCCACTGAACTTCAGTGGTATTCAGCAATGAGGTATGTAGCACTTTTTCTAGGATGAGTTCACATACTTAATTGTCCTACCTTTGTGTGTGTGTGTGTGAATAAATTGATTATGGGCATTGGCTCACAAGATCATGGAGACCAAGAAGTCCTACCATCTTTCATTTGTAAGCTGGAGACCCAAGAAAGCTGGTAGTATTCAGTCCAAATCCAGACGCCTGTGAACCAGGAGTTCTACAATCCAAGGGAAGAAAGATGGATGTCCCAGGTCAAGAGGAGAGAGAATTTGCCCTTTCTGCACGTATTTGTCCTATTTGGGCCCTTGACAAATTGGATGGAGCCTGCCACACTGGTGAAAGAGAATCTGTTTTACTCAGTCTACTGATTCCAAGGCAAGTCCCTCGGGATGCACCCACAGACACCCTGAGCAATAATATTTTACCAGCTATCTGGGCATCTTTTAGCCTGGTTGAGTTGATACATAAAATGAACTGTCACAATCTGTAATTTTCCACTTCATAAAAAATGATAGAAGGGAAAGAAGTCTTATATTATTCTTTATTACATGTTTGAAAGGGTTTACAATTAAAACAATTAGCTGTCTTTTTTTTTTTTTTTTTTTTTTGAGACAGGAGCCTCAAGCTGTCCCCCTGGGTAGAGTGCCGTGGCATCTCAGCTCACAGCAACCTCCAACTCCTGGGCTCAAGCAAGTCTTCTGCCTCTGCCTCCCAAGTAGATGGGACCACAGGCGCCTGCCACAACGCCCGGCTATTTTTTGGTTGCAGCCGTCATTGTTGTTTGGCGGGCCCGGGCTGAATTCAAACCCGCCACCTTGGGTGTACATGGCTGGTGCCTTAGCTACTTGAGCCACAGGTGCCGAGCCAATTAGCTGTCTTTTAAAATGTTTCATGATGGGAAGAAGTTAGTATGAAATGTGTCGCGTTTTGTATCATTTTGAAGTAAGAATGCCCCACATGCATGTGATGCTCTTTAAGAAGTCAAAATGTTTAATGGACATGGTGTTGGCTCTCTCAAATATAAGCCCCAAGACGAGTAATCTAAATTCACAGTGGTGAACTCCCCTTGCCAGTGATGGGTCAGGCTGGCATGGGACTCACTTTGGGCCGATGAGTTAAGAAAATTTAAGGGCTAGGCGCCTGTGGCTCAAGTGGCTAAGGCGCCAGCCACATACACCAGAGCTGGAGGATTCAAATCCAGCCCGGGCCCGCCAAACAACAATAACGGTTGCAACAAAAAAATAGCTGGGTGTTTTGGTGGGCGCCTGTAGTCCCAGCTACTTGGAAGGCGGAGGCAGGAGCATCACTTGAGCCTAGGAGTTGGAGGTTGCTGTGAGCTATGATGCCACAGTACTCTACCCAGGGTGACAGCTTGAGGCTCTGTCTCGAAAAGAAAAAAATTTTTGGCCATTACTATATATAGGTCACTCTCTAAGTCGTTCTTTTTACTTAAAAATAAGTTTTGAAAAACTTTTCCCGTCAGGACTTAATCATCCCCTTCATTTAAAAAAATGTTGTATTCTACAGTGTGGGAAGACTCATGTTTACTTCACTTTTCCTTTATTGGGGAGCACACCTCTTTATATGCTGTTGAAAACACTTCTGAAGAGGAAATGTACTGAAGCAGAATTCCTGAATTAAAAGAGTTGAGTGCATTTTCAGTTTAGACAGAGAATGCCTCTGCCAGTTTAAGTGCCTGATGTAGCAACAGGTACCCTGTGCTCAGCTGCCAGCCTCCTGCCCACTGTCCATCAGCTGCCACTCCAGTGGAACAGTGTGCATTTCTCCCGCAGTGAAGCTCTGCGTGTCTCTGGGAAAAACAAGAAAAAATTTTCTTTCTCTTAGTAGGGAAGGAAGCAACATTCAAGGAAGTTAGTGATTCACCAAAGATGATATTGAAAATATTTAATTGGTGGCTCTGTGCCTGTGGCTCAAGCAGCTAAGGCGCTAGCCACATACACCTAAGGTGGCGGGTTCGAATCCAGCCCGGGCCCGCCAAACAACAATGATGGCTGCAACCAAAAAATAGCCGGGCGTTGTGGCAGGCGCCT